GGTGGAAAACTTTTGCCTTCTTTGCAAAACGTCTCACAATGCTGCTATTAAAGATGTTGTAACTGCCGAGCTTGGCCCTGCTTTCAGTTAGGTGAAGGTTTGTTTATAGAAAACCTTGAATTAAGATTAGGGTTTGTAACAGAACAGTTATCAGTCAAGCATTGAGTCTAGACATTTATTTGAACACTGATCCCTTCATGCAGGCTCACTCAGATAAGCTCAGTGCTTTTCTCAGTTTTCAGCTTCCATCTTCTAACTTTCACCTGCACAAATGGATTTGTTTCTTCTGGGAGTGAAAAGATATGGAGGCAACACAATGGGTTGAGACAGTCTTCTCAACAACAGAAAGGCCAGGCACAGAGAAAAGGCACAGATCAGATGACTTCCAACCTCTCTCCCAGCCTAACCTATGCATGTAAAATATTTGCTTACGTTGTCTCGGGTTTAGCGAAGCATGGTTTGCAGATTATTCCCATGGTTACATGACAACTGTATGTGTTAATTTATATATGTTGACACTAACTGATGACAGGTGGCCGATGTGCAAAGGCCATGGTATTTAAACAGTTAGGAGGGAAGTGAGGACATGAAGGAGCTAATGAACATTTTAAAGCTGGTCAAGTTCATGATCTGGTGGCATCAATTAACTACCTCAGCACTCGTATAAATGTTTATAACAGTCATGTGAGTTTCTGAGCCCTTATTTACTTAATCAAAGGTTAAGAGCATGAAGAAGTGGGGGGAAAGTGGATGTGAGGTGAGAACTCTGAGAAACCTTAAAATAATTGCTATTACAACATTAGTGGATGGGGACAAATAGACTACTAGACTGAAACTAATTCTGCAATGAGGACGACAGAGTATTGGGAGAAAGCCAAGCAGAGAGAAGTGTCAGATATGACAAATCAACAAGATATAGACAATCTTAATAGAATAACAAAGGAAACATAAGTTAGAATTCTGAGAACTATAAATCAAAGCACTGAGAGCAGAAGTCAAACATGCTAAATAAACTACATGTCATCACAATGGTAACGTTTTATTTTACATGGTCCGAAACACCAATTCTGAGGATTGCTTATGAGTTATGTAGGAAGCAAAAAATAGAAAAACAACAAAAACAAAAATGAGAGAGCATCTGTAAGAGCACAGCTCAGCAATGGCATTTATATCGATGGGGCCAGTTTAACTCACCTGTGTAGTAGGTGGTTTAAAATTGAGAACGTTTTTATACTAAATAAACTCCTTATTCAATTTGCTACAAAAACAGATTATGAATCAAAAGAAATATTTTCCTTATATATATTTAGTCTTTTTTTATACTGATCATTGATTCATCACAGGGACAAATTTTTGGTAAAATGTGCTTACTTTGAAATAAACACATCTTAGTCACATATGCTTTTATATATATTAAATATTTTATATGCAAGTTAAAAGAGAAAGAAATAAAGGGAAAAGACAGACAATTCTTTTATGTTTTTGTTTTTATGATAGAAGATAATGAAGATGAAAAAGATCCAATAGCGAGGGTAAAGGCCATGATGCAGGGGAGAAAGGACACTGCAGGCATGAAAGCCTAGAGCAGCGGTTCTCAACCTGTGGGTCGCGACCCCTTTGGGGGTCGAATGACCCTTTCACAGGGGTTGCCTAAGACCATCAGAAAACACATATATAATTACATATTGTTTTTGTGATTAATCACTATTCTTTAATTATGTTCAATTTGTAACAATGAAATTGGGGGTCACCACAACATGAGGAACTGTATTAAAGAGTCTCGGCATTAGGAAGGTTGAGAACCACTGTCCTAGAGGAAGCCCGAGGTGATAGGTCCACTGGGTTAGGAGAGAGGTTATCTTTAATGGGAAGCAGGAACCACTAGCCAAGTTATGTGGCTAGAGATTCAGGTAGGTTGGTAGATTTGGTGCTGAGGGTGTGTGCATTTGCTGATTGTGTCTATTTTCTCAATAAAATGATGGGAAAGGATGTTAACTGAGAGTTAGGAGATAAGGGAGAGTGAGGTATAAGGAGAAAGAAGATGTGAAAGAATCCTTTCAGAGACGTACCAGAGGCCTCACTTGAAGAAAATGGCCATGAATTTTAAGAGATTGGTTCAAATGTGTGGGTAATAATGTGAAGTAGGCAGAAAAAATGACCTTCATGAAGTGTTTTTCAGACATGTAAATGTAAAGAGAAAGACAAAAGGGAATTGAGTTCATCGGCCAGGAGTAATTATACTGAAGGACTCATGAAAACTAAACCAAGTGTGAGCTTGGTTTAGTGAAAAGGAAGGTGGTGGTCAGATCAATAGCTTGGAGATCCTGGTGGCATCAAACATTTTTCAGAGAGTTCCAGTGGGAGTGGGCTGTGAGCGAGAATGTGAGGGTTGGAAAACCGTAAGCCTGAAATTCAGAAGATGAAGTTATTGGTAATGGCAGTTCTGGGGTATGTCTCCAGAGTGAGATAGGTTTGAGGAAAGATGACTGGGCATGAGCAAGGCAAGGTACTGAGTGAGAGGCTTGGAGGCTATGTGGAACACTTGCCTGAATATTAAAATCAACTCAAATTTATGTCTGCATTATTGGGGAGGGGGAGAGAAGAGGAGAGGAGTGAAGAAGAGGGGAGGGGAGGGGAGGGGAGAGAACAGTGGGCTACGTTCTAAATTTTTCAAAGAACAGAAGTGGCTGGTGGGACTGCAACATAGGGAGGGTAGGCAGTAGTAGAGTCTGATGCCATGTACATTTAAAATTAGTATTTTAAGAGATATATAAATGAAAACATTGTTGATAAGCATTAATATCGGCCAGAATAGAAGTTACATCACATGCAGCTAGTTTATCCTATCTAATAAAAGAGAAACATGGTAATTAGCTGTACGTCCGCTACCCTTCCCATTGGCTATTCAGGGCGATATGCAAATTAACTGTCAGCCAAGATGGCGGCCGGCAGCCAGGCAGCTTGAAACGAACATGAGGCTTGCTTGCTTCAGTGATGGAGGCTTGCAAAGTTCCCCACCTGCCTTGCTGGCCTCTGAGCTTGCAACATTGTTACAAATATAGAAGCTAAACAAAACCCCAGAAACCTGCTTTCAGCCAGCCAGGATTTCAGAGCTGGAGTTGAAACAGTGTCTCGATTATAGAACCCAAACAAACCAGATACCTGCTTTCAGCAGCAGAGGCCTTAGAGCTGGAGCCAAGCTTCAGAGCTAAAGGTGGCCCAGAATTAAAAAAAAGAAAAAAGAAAAAAAGGAGCGGTTGGGAGCTTCAGTCACCTGCCAGCCTGAAAACAACCCTCAGCCCCTCACCCAGACTGGCCAGGCACTCCAGTGGGGACCCCCACCCTGAAGGGTGTGTGACCAGCTGCAAACAGCCATCATCCCCTCATCCAGGCTGGCCAGGCACCCCAGTGGGTACCCTCACCCTGATCCAGGACATCCTTCAGGGCAAACCAGCTGGCCCCCACCCGTGCACCTGGCCTCTATCCTATATAGTAAAAGGGTAATATGCCTCCCAGCACCAGCATCAGCATGACAGGGGGGAGCGCCCAAACCCCCTGATCGCCCTGCGGCTCTGTGTGTGACAGGAGGTGGGGCTACAACCTCCCTATCCGCCCTGCTCTGTTTGTGACAGGGGAAGGCGCACCAACCCCCTGATCAGCCCTGCTCTGTGCCTGATAGGGGGGAGCTCCCCAAACCCCTGATCGCCCTGTGACTCTGTGTGTGACAGGGTGTGGCGCCCCAACGCCCCCCCCTCCACGGCCCTGCTCTGTGTGTGACGGGGTAGAGCCATAACCTCCCCATTGGCCGTGCCCTGAGTGTGACAGGGTGCGGCACCTCAACTCCCCTATCGGCCCTACTCTGTGAGTGACGGGGGGAGCTCCCCAACCCCCTGATGGGCCCTGCTCTGTGTGTGACAGTGGGGAGCTCCCTAACCCCCTGATCGACCCTGCTCTGTGCGTGACAGGGTACGGAGTCCCAACCCCCCTGATGGGCCCTGCTCTGTGAGTGACGGGGCGACCCTGCCTTGAGTGTGATGGGGGCGGTGCCCCAACCCCCCAATCGGCCCTGCTCTGAGCCCGACCAGGGGCTGCACCTAGGGATTGGGCCTGCCCTCTGCCACCCGGGAGCAGGCCTAAGCCAGCAGGGCGTTATCTCCCAAGGTGTGTCCCAGACTGCGAGAGGGCACGGGCTGGGCTGAGGGACCCCCCCCACCCAAGTGCACAAATTTTTGTGCACTGGGCCTCTAGTATTAAATAAAAGACAACACACCAAAAATTATTTGATATACTTAGCAATGGAACTAGAGAGCAAATTTTTATCATGACTTTGAATGTTATTCCACTCTTATGGATCCAGTAAGAAATTTCCAGACATAGCCAGTTTGGTTCAAAGGATAGAGCGTCAGCCTGCAGACCCAAAGGTCCGGGTTTGATTCCCGCAAGGGCAAGCAGGTATAGAGGTTGCATACCAATCGATACGTTTCTCTCACATCCCTGTTTCTCTGTGTCCTTCCCCCCTCTCTTTCCACTATCTCTAAAAATCAATGGAAAAATATTCTTGAGTGAGGTAAAGAAAGAAAGAAAGAAAGAAAGAAAGAAAGAAAGAAAGAAAGAAAGAAAGAAAGAAAGAAAGAAAGAAAGAAAGAAAGAAAGAAGAACGAAGAAAAGAAAGAAGAAAGAAGAAAGAAAGAAAGAAAGAAAGAAAGAAAGAAGAAAGAAAGAAGAAAGGAGAAAGAAAGAAGAACGAAGGAAAGAAAGAAAGAAAGAAAGAAAGAAAGAAAGAAAGAAAGAAAGAAAGAAAGAAAGAAAGAAAGAAAGGAAGAAAGAAAGATACCGTCCGCCTACCCAAACCTGGGGACCCAGGGGAAAAGGCCCGCCATCCTCCCCACCCCACCCGCCTCACTGCGGCAGAAGCTACCACTGATAAAGGTGGGTGCTTTGATTTTCTGGAGCTGGTGATCCTATTTAGGACGGCTGGTGGGGTTCAAAGTTGCATTTACCTGTTTATTTCTCAAGGGCTGAACCACTTCCTTAATGCACAGCTCTAGGTCCTTGAGATAGTCCCTTTCCGTCTGTACCAGCTCCTCGATGATTTTGGAACGCCTCACCATCATCCTCTGCTTCTGATGCTCCTCTTCCTCCTCCTGAGTCAGGGTCTCCGCCGCACGCCCGGCCTGTGGACTCATCTTTTCTGTTCAGTGGAAACATGAACATGTGAGGCATTCTGCGGGGGTTTCTTATTCCCTCACTACAAACAAGCCACTGCAGGCATATTGTTAGCAAGGAAAAATGCTTAGGGTGTCGTCAAGGTGTGTTCTTAGAAAGTGATGATGTGTGCTGGTTCCCCCAAAGTCAGAATCCTAGGAAAATGTGAGCATGAAGGGATATGAGAATAGACTACTTTTGATAAAGTAGTTAACTGCCATAGTTTGTCTTTAAAATATCTAATTGCTACTATCTATGGTATAAAATGGTCTTCAGGCTAGAGGTAAAATGTATAAAAATACAGTTCAGAACTGTTTCTGGACACATTTGCTTTATTTAAAATTTATTTTTAATTATTGTTGGCATGTAATATTATATTAGTTTCAGGTGTACTGATAACACAGTGATTAGATGTAAATATACCTTGCAAGGTGATTGTCTCAATAAGTCAAGTAACCATGTTATAATAGTTATTATGATATTATTAACTACTAGAGGCCTGGTGCATGAAATTCGTGCATGGGGGCAGGGGGTGTGCCTCAGCCTGGCCTGCACCCTCTCCAATCCAGGATCCCTCTTATAATCTGGGACCACTGGCTCCTAACCACTCACATGCTTGCCTGCTTGATCGCCCCTAACCCCTCTGCCTGCCTGCCTGATTGCCCCTAACCACCTCTGCCTGCCTACCTGATCACCCTTAACTGTTTGCTGGGGGGCAGGGCCAGCCCTGCGAGGGGCCGTCTGCCTACCTGACCACCCCTAACCACTGGCCTGCCTACCTGATCACCCCTAACCGCTGGTCTGTCTAACTGATCATTCCTAACCACTCTGCCTGCAGAATCACCCCTAACCGCTTGCTGGGGGGTGGGGCCAGCCCAGCGAGGGACCGTGGTGGTTCTGGTCTAACGGTGGTTATGATTGTGATGCCATTATGGTCTTTGGCCTTTTATTATATAGGATACTAGAGGCCCAATGCATGAAATTCATGCAAGGGTAGGCCTTCAAAGCCCTGGCTGCCTAGTGACGCCTGCTACCTTGTGGCTCCGCCCCTGCCCACACCTGCCTTGGCCTAGTGCAGCCCGCATCTGCCGCCAGACACCCCCAGTTTCCCAGTTCCACGGAGCCCCCTGATAGATCACCCCACAGAGGGTGGCCTGGGCCTCTCTCTTTGAGGCAATTGCAGACCCCTTCCCATCAATCACCCCGCAGAGGGTGGCCTGGGCCTCCCTTTATGGGGCAATCGTGGGTGATGACAGGCCCCCCAACCAATCCCATTGCACCCGCCTTGGCTGGCCTGGTGCCAGTGCGTGTCATAGTGTGGTCATCCAGAAGGTCGTCCAGACATTCATTCTGCTGTTCAGTTGTTCAGTCTATTTGCATATTATACGTTTATTTTTATAGATTCCCTACCTTGTACATTACATCTGTGACTTATTGTATAATGGCAGTTTGTACTTCCATAAGCCCCTTCACCTTTTGCCAACTCCAAACCCTTCCCATTTCTAACCGGCTAAACCATCAGTTTTTTCTCTGTATCTGAGTTTGTTTTTGTTTTGTTTATTTTTTTTAGATTCCATGTATAAGTGAAATTATACAGTATTTGTCTTTCTCTGCCTGATTTATTTCACTTAGTATAATACCTTCTAAGTCCATCCATATTGACACCAATGGCAATATTTCATTCTTTTTTATGGCTGAGTAACAGTTTGTTATATATAGTATCATTTTTATCCATTCATCTGTCAATGGACAGCTAGAATGCTTCCATAGCTTGGCTGTTGTAAATAATACTGCAAAATGTCTAGGAATGCTATATCTTTTCAAATTAGTATTTTCTATTTCTTTGAATAAATTCCTAGAAGTGGGATTGCTAGATCATATGGTAGTTCTATTTTTAATTTTTTGAGGAACCTACATACTGTTTTCCATAGTGGTTGCACCAGTTTCCAATCTCACCAACAGTGCACCAGGGTTCTCTAGTCTCCACATCCTCACCAACATTTATTCTTTGGGGTTTTCTTTTATATATATATATATATATATATATATATATATATATATATATATATAATGGCAATTCTGAAAGGTGTAAAGTCATATCTCCTTATGGTTTTAATTTGTATATTCCTGCTGATTAATGACACATTTGTTTTTAAATCAAGAGAGAATTTTTAACTGGTAAGTGGAACACCTTCCACTTTTGTTTGTTGCTATTATTATTAAAACTAATTGCTCCCAAATATAAATGGATAGTATGCAAACTTTACTAAAATGGAAAACAATTGCACATGAGTGGGATTTTTCTTTCAATTCACAATCAGAATCCATGAGAGTGAGATAGTGGTGGATTAAATAAATATCAGCTAAGATTTTTTTGTATGGCTTTTCTTCAATATGATGTTATCTCAAAATTCTTGAACTGCAAAACAGAACATTTTAATTAAAAAATGACTGAAGGGCTATTGCAATTAATGGGCAGCCTCACATATACCCAAGGTCTTATATAAACTACAATGTAAGAAAGCAAAATATTTTCAAGGATGTGCTCCACACAGTAACATAAAATTTTGGAAGCCACAAACTAGATTACAAATGAAATCAGAGCAAGGATAGAAAGCAGGGCAGGTGTGTGTGTGTGTGTATGTGTGTGTGTGTGTGTATGTGTGTGTGTATGTGTGTGTGTGTGTAAATGAATTTGCTTCAAGCTCGAGGTCATCACAAACTTAATTTTTTATCTTAGTCTCTGCAGTTGCAGAAGTAATTTCATTTCTTTTCAAGCTAATGTGATTTTAGTAACTGATACGTTAGACATCTTTGATGCTGACATCACTTCCTGAGGATGTAGAGCTTTGCCAAAGGCTTCACACAGACTCAGGATGGAAAAACAAAAGTGCACAGGTCACGATGTATGGGAAGAGAGGATATTGTCTTGGATGACTGCAGAAATGAAGCTAAGAAAACTGGAGAAAATTTATAGTAGAGGAGTTAATAGTTCCATGCAAAAGGACTGTCCAAAGATGCGAAGAGGCACTCCAAAAGTCGCAAATACACCTCTTTCTGGCCCACTAATTTTTCAGGTGTTCTGGCAGTAGCTCCATAATCAAGCACTTGTGGAGAATGGTGTGAAGGTAATTCCAGCGGTCGTTGGCAGCTGCACTAGTTGATCTTTGGCCAATCCTGACTTTCAGGTAAACATGCTTCTAGACCATTTGCCCGGTAGCTATCTTTCTTCATCAGGAAAGAAAATGGATTTGACAGATGCTCTCTGAGTTTTACAAGACGGGCCATTCAGTGCCAGGGAAGTAATCTGCCTGAGCTCTAAAAGAAGAGAGGATCTATACAAAGACAGAAAACGGATGCATGAGGAGTTCTGCAGCCTGCGTATCTTACTTTATGTTATGAGCATTTTTGGATGCTTGCTAATTTATAGTATTTTTATTGGAGAATAGAAGAAGCCTGCTTCTCAGCACCCCAAATTTGAAAGAAAAAGTTATAGTCAGGTGTCATTATTATTAATTATTTTGCATATAACAGAGGAAGGCAGGTCACTGGCGAGGGGACCTGCGGTGAGCAGGCTGTATACATCACATGACCTCCTCTGTGAGCCTCCTTTTGTCTGTTTCTTCTGAAAGGGTGGAGGTTGGCTAACACCTGGAGATCAGGTACTCATTAAGGCTTTACCGACTCTCTCCACCGCTATGAAACCACGATGGGAGGGTCCCTATCCCATCATTGTGTCCACCCCCACTGCAATCAAGGTCAGTGGAGTCGACTCCTGGATCTATCTGTCTCAAGTAAAGCTTTGGACACCAGCCCAGGAGGACGATGAAGCTGTATTACCCTCAACTGAATCACCAGATTCCCATTCGTGTGAGCCTCTAGAGCAGTGGTTCTCAACCTTCTGGCCCTTTAAATACAGTTCCTCGTGTTGTGACCCAACCGTAAAATTATTTTCGTTCCTGCTCCATAACTGTAATGTTGCTACTGTTATGAATCGTAATGGAAATATCTGATATGCAGGATGGTCTTAGGCGACCCCTGTGAAAGGGCCGTTTGAACGCCAAAGGGGTCGTGACCCACAGGTTGAGAACCGCTGCTCTAGAGCAATGGTTCTCAACCTTGGCTGCACATTAGAAACACCTGGGAATCTTTTTAAAATCCTGATTTCTGGGCCTCACCCTCCGGAAATTCTGTTTCTTTGTTACCAATGTTGTGGCCCCACCTCATAACAAAGAAACAGAATTTCCAGAGGATGAGGCCCAGAAATCAGGATTTTAAAAAGATTCCCAGGTGATTCTAATGGGCAGCCAAGGTTGAGAAGCACTGCTCTAGAGGACCCGAAACTTCTCTTTCGAAGGGACCCTGGGGAGTCAATGAGTGCCAGATAAGCAACATACTCTGGTATTTCTAAATAAACAGTGTTTTCACTTTTTAATAATTCTTATTCTGTCTTTTTATAAGTGTCACCGGAAGCCTAGGCTGGTTCCCAGAGGAGGCCTTCTCTGCCCTTGCTGGGGCCCAGAAACACCTTAAGATGCTCCTACTTATAGCTCCTTTTTGTATCCTCAATGTAGCAAATTTTCCAGCCATTCTGGCTCCAAATCCCTAACTACTAAGTATGTTATAAGCAGCCCAGTTCAGGGTCAAATAATCTCAATTAGACATATATCTCCCACATCTCTTTCAAAGTAAAATATACTAAGTCTTAGTCTAGAGGACAACTTATGCTACCACCACCAACAACCAGACTGGAACCACTTCTCAAGCCTCCACAGATTTTTATTCACAGAGAAGCCCTTGACTGAGCAGGGCAAAGTCTGTGCCATGAATGACACTTCTTGCTGCAAGCAGCTTTGCTAAAAGGAAGTCTGGGCATCAATTAAAGATATAATACCATCTCTATTAGCTAGCTCCTCTTCTTAAACCTTGGTTTATACTGTTTTTTAATTACTCATCTTTTTTTAATTATAATTTTTTAAAATTGAT